CTGTATATTTGTAGTCGGAGGTGTTGTGGAACGAGAACATACCCGCGAGAAGTGCTCGCACCCTTTTCGGAATTATATTATTCAGCAGTCAAATTCTGCCACAACAATTTCAACGTGATGACCTTGTTTTGTGCAGCGGCAACTTTTCGAGGTCGATGCAAAGTATCTTTCCTTATTCATAATGACTATTCTGCAAGTGCAAGTGTTTCCAATGCAGACAACATCGATGAACGACGACGGCAAGAATTCCGAAGGAGGATCATGGAGCAACCATCACTCAAAACACTCGTGGATGGGCTTGTGGACACGACCATCAAATATTTGCGAAGTCTCCTGCTACGCGAATATGAAGTAATAAAAAGTTATATAGAGTACAAGGATCCGACGATTGACGGACAAACTGATACCATCATTGTAGAAGATTGGACAACTTATACAAGGACAGACTGAAATGTTGTCTTGATCGCATTAGTTTATCCCCTAAGTCGATCTAGTTACTAGGCTTGTTTTGCCTACTTTCGGAGTGTCATTTGTGCTTTGGATTTTTTATTTTTTTTTCTTACTCGGTCAATGGCCTTGAGACATCATCTAAGTTCGAATAGCCCAGTCCTGCATTAATATAGAGTTATTTGGTTATCCGAGTTCAGCGGGATTCGAACGAAGGTTTGTGTTTTGACAGTTTATGGGTGACACTGCTTTCAAATTGCTTTTAATGTTGAACTTTTGCACGTGTTTTCATTTAATTGTGTTGTTGTAGTTAAGCATGATTTTTGTACATATTTTTGGAGTGTCCGCTGCACTTTGCTATCAAATATTAACAGATCTTTAAATTTTCTTCTAAGGTCACATGCAAGGTTTTTCAGAATGTTCTTTCATGTAAGCGTTTAAGTTCAAGGAACATAAGATTCTAAACTGATTGAAATATTGTCAAGTTCAACTTGATCCGACACTCACTGAATCTCACGTTTTGCAATATGTGTCCATGTTGTGTAAGCTTGGTATTATAATTAATATAATAAATTGAATATGACTTCTTGGATTTTGCGATAGAATGGATGTATTCATGTTATGAAAGGTTGGGATATAATCCTCTGCTCTTGTTGTTAAATTTACTTTTGTTCTGGCAAATTTGTTAATTTCATTATTTCACTTTTTACAAAACATTTCATTTTTAACGAAAACTTCGTTATTAGCGCTCGTGAGGTCGTCGACATCATCTTCGACCGAGTC